TCTATGTACTATGGAGTATAGTCTCGAAACTTTAATCACTATACCACACTTCGACGAGTACTCTTAGGTCATAGGCAAAATGTGAAGTTTAAGGAAGGCCAGGCCTTTCCCATATTACATTCCTTTGGTGAGATTGCGGACGAAGAAAAATTATATTTGCGATAAAATTCTATTATATTGCTCATCTTTCGTTTATAAGTAGGTTTTCAAGATTACCAATAGGTCATATATATATATATATAGTTTAAGGTGATTAAAGATTGGTAGATGAAGCTTTCAAAAACGATAGAAGTAGGACTCACTTTTCCATTGCATTTTACATGGTGTTACTTTAAGAAAGGTATTCTCATGAAGGCTGGACTGCAGTTTGGACTTCGCAACATCTCAAAAGCCCCACCAGTGGGACCCAAACGTTTGAGAATGTATCAAGTCCACTGTCAGATGCTGGGAATCAAGACATCTACTATGACAGACGACTTCGGACTCGGTGCGTTCTGCATAGTCTCCCTGAACACAAGACCAAGTTGCGACAACGAGGTATCGAAAAGAGACTGCGACCATAACAGAGGCTACAACATCTTGGTCTTCATATATTCAATAAACGATTATAATTGCAATAAAGCGAAGAGGTTGTCAGTAAGTGATGCCCATTTCGAATAAAACAGTACATTTTGGGGACCTGGCAGCCAGGGAGCTGGGCAGACGGATAAGCAAACCGTCACGGAAATTCGGCGTTATGGCCATAATACACTATAAATCCACTTGAGATGCCGCATGCGACAAGAGATAGGCGTCCACAGTTTGCTCAGATAACATGAGTCTAATCAAGGTAGAGGACCCGTGAAGGGAAGGCCTGATATCTGCAAACATGGCAATCAGAGCTAAGGCGCTCTGCTAAGTGAGGCGGCAGTATGTGTGCTTCTAGGGCCTTGAGAAATAGCGCCTGTAGTGAAATGCACACAAGGACTGGAACCGAGTGAAATCGGTCAACCAGAAACATAAGGAACGGATCCACGAGACAATGAAGGTATCAGGGATTGAAGGCCCGAGTCGGATAAGCCGATAGAAAGAGAGGGGTCGGGGTAGATAGCAAGTGTGATGGGGCCACGCTAGAATTGCCACAAAAGGGCACATATTTTTGATAATTGGAATGTAAACAAGTGAGAAGTTGTGATAGGGCGGCAATGGGATAAGAGGGTAAAGAGTAGATAGATAGGCCAGGACAGAAATAGGAGTGATAGAGTAACTGCTTTCGGCAGAGCGTTTGTCGAGGGATTGGCTTCACTTGTCTCTGACGAGTTCGTAGCCTGGCGCGGCGAATGGCAAAACTCACTGATGATGCCGACTACGATGCCGGCGAAACGTTTGAGAATGTACCAAGTCCACTGTTTTATGCTGGGAATCATGACAACTACTATGGCAGACGACTTTGGACTAGGCACGTTCTATTAAATCGCCCTGACAACAAGACCAAGTTGCGACAACGAGGTCAACCCACTTCTATTTGGAATACTTTTGTTCTACTCCATGAAGTATGGGTACCTGCTCTGATGATATCTGTCACAATACAGACGAGAGCTTAGCACTTTTTTATCGGGGTCACAGGACAGTGAGCCGATGACTTCTTCACACAATTCAACTTAGAGGAACGCACCTAGTCCGGAGTCCATTGGATGCATGATTATTTATAGAGTCGGGCCGATAACGTGGTACATTCTCACGTCTACGGTCCGACTCTGAAAATGTTCATGCCTAAAATAGACTCCGGATTAGGTGCGTTTCAATAAGTCTTCCTACCAATTTGACCAAGCTGCGAAAACAAGGTCAAACTACTTCTATACAACCACAGAATCGTGATATGGAAGAAGCTTGGACTTTCTCAAAATCTACTTCTCCCCTGCGACCAAAGGGCATTCGTAACAGTGTGGTGTAGTTGTTTATGTGTTGAGGCTACACATCACACTACCCGGGTTCGAACCCCGCTTGGGAGGTCAAAACTTTAGTCAAGTCGAGCCTGAATAAGAATACCTGTTGGAAAGCAAGACTATGTGAAATTGAATGAACCATGGGGCCTACTCATATCATTGAGGTAAAATTTATCTATTAGTCCCTCACCGTCTAAAACGAATTTGGATGAATTTCCATCTTATATAACATGTACTGGTGGTTTTAAAAACCCACTTATAGACGGAAAATAAGTAATGATTTGCAAAATCAAAATAAGAAAATATTCAAAAATTCATAGAGGTAAATGTAACCAAATTCCATAATTGGTAAAAACTGTCGAATAAGTTAATTAAATGCAGTATTCTGATCACAGTCGACACGAGCTCATTCATGGGCTTCAAAAATTAGACATCAACAAAAGGTGAGCAATCCTCTATTGCAAATGTCTCGCATATTTATGTACCTAGTGTCAATGGGACTTATTTTGGATGACCCCAAAAAGCTCACTAAAGCCTGAAACATCCATTTACCTGTACACTGCCGACCAAGATATTTCTATCCTGGACCCTGTCTGCATCTTCTATTGTCTTCGAATCCCAGCCATTGAGACGCACAAAGGCACTGGACAGTGAGACCAACTGATTTTGCAATCGGTCCCGATATACAGCGTATACAGCGGCTGGTTGCTGAAAGTGAGCCACCCAGTCAACGTCGGACCTGGGAGGAGGCCTCTGCAAGTCAACAGACAGCGAGATCATGACGCCCTGATTTTCCAGATTGTCCTCATCATAAAAAGTCATCTTTCCCCTCCAGCACCAGTCCCGGGCAGAATCGAAGGACTTAGTAAACTTTTTCACGGTGAGGGGCTGCTTGACTTGATCTCTGCATTGCAGCAATGGTATGGATCCTCTCGATTTTCCAATCCGTTTTCCCTGTGAAGTGGAACTAATGTATCCACAATTGGAGGCTGGAATCCTTGTCTTGCAGGGACCTTAAGGGAGAGATGAAAACGAGATGAGCTCATGCTTACAAAGATACATGAAAGGCATCTAGAGAGAAGATTATCCATTAAAAATATGTGGAAAATGAGAATTGGGGAAAAAAGAAATTAGACGCAACGGACAAGAAAAGAAGGCTAACTTTTGGTGGATTAATTGGGTCAGACGGACCTCAATTGTATTGAGCTGAGGTATTCTGCCTTTGGAGAGTAGTGGCCTCATAGAGAAGTAAGGAATGAATGAATTTTTCATGCACTCATTGCTTCACACCCTAACCGCTGTCCACTTACGCATGAAACATGTTTATGTTTGTTCATATTCTTTGGCTATATATGTACTTTCGCCAACTACTATACTAGAGGGAGTCTTCAAAAGACACATTTTTAAGAAGCTGTGAAAACGTTTGAGTGGAATCTTGTGTTGCTCAAAGATGCTTAAAATATTTTAAAAAGTGATACTTAAATTTTTCCACAACTATTTGAATATAAATCACGATGACAGTTATAATATAAATATCAGTCCTGAATTAAAATTGGTTGAGATCTTATCCAAGATAAACAACCGTTTTCGAAGCTTACTACTCACATCGGAAAGAGGCAAAGTAGTAGATTGTAACGGTAAATGCTAGCTAGCCTCATTGGCAATTCCACCATAGAAATGTGATCTAGTGAGGCCTGGCTTGAAATTTAAGTATGTCATTGTGATTGTGTGGTAGAGTGGTAAGATGTTACGACTTGGCTAGTAAAACCCGACTTAAAGCCCCTTTTAAAGTTGTTCATGAGATCTGGGCGATATCAAAGTTACATCTCTAACGGGGACAAAATATAAGTTGTTTTGATATGTTGTCATGTCACTTACAATTTCACTTAGTAGCACTATGTCAAAAGTATTCACTTCAATATCAGGGTTTGATTCTAGATGAGGGTACTGATGAAACATCTGAGATGAAGCCGAAACTGTAGTCCGCCCAGAGAGGCAAAGTCAAGTAGCTTTTATTCGAAATCTACCGCTACTTCGGAAACCTACTCAATTTGAAATTAAGTAATATAGTCGATCATAACGACAAATTTAAGATTTTTCATCAACACTTTTACAATATATGGTATAGGAGAGGCTTGGCTAACCTTGAAATTCACGTCTGCCCTGTGACCCGCTGGCACCCGTGTCAACGTCGAGTATTTCAACACGTGGAAAACATACGATGCCCTGATTGGGTACAAGTCCCGTTGTGGCTTCTAATGAGACCGATTCAGGCGAGGCCGAAACTTTTAAAAGGCAA